GGAGGGAGGAGAAGAGAAATCGAGGGTTGGATGGAAGGAAATAATGAAATATGGACTGGGAAAAGGAGGTTTAAAAACAGCAGAAATATGGGTAAGAGAAAGGGTGCGGGCAGGGAAAGGGCGGGGCGGGTCCCAAGCGCTTTGAATGCTCCCCTTGCGACCGACATCTCCCTCCGGCTCAGGCCCGAGGAGAGCTTCCTTCACCCGGGGAAGAGGCTGGGCCCGCGGGACTCGCGGCCACAAGATTCTGCGGAGCACTGGAAAAGGGGGCTATGCAAACACGAGGGGTTAAGGAAGCAGCAGCGTTTAAAAAGCAGAGACATCACCTTGCCAATAAAGGTCCTTATAGTTCAAGCTCTGGTTTTCCCAGTAGTGATGTATGGAAGTGAGAGCTGGACCATCAAGAAGCTGATCGCCGAAGAATTGCTTTTGAATTCTGGTGCTGGAGGAGACTCTTGAGAGTCCCATGGACTGCAAGAAGATCCAACCTCTCCATTCGGAAGGAAATCAGCCCTGAGTGCTCACTGGAAGGACAGATCCTGAAGCTGAGGCTCCAAGACTTTGGCCACCTCAGGAGAAGAGGAGAATCCCTGGAAAAGACCCTGATACTGGGAAAGATGGAGGGCACAAGGAGAAGGGGACGACGGAGGACGAGATGGTGGGACAGTGTTCTCGAAGCTACCAGCATGAGTTTGACCAAACTGCGGGAGGCAGTGGAAGACAGGAGGGCCTGGAGTGCTCTGATCCAGGGGGGTCACGAAGAGTCGGACACAGCTAAACGACTAAACAACAACAATCTGGGCTGGTCACTGGCCTGATCCGGCACTGTGTTCTTGTGTTCTTCAGGCCTGTCAGTGGAGAGGGCCACCGTGTCCAAACTGGCGCACACGCGACAGTGTTCACTGGCGATGCCATGGTAGGTTTTGAGGAGTACCATCAATCAATCAATCAATCAATCAATCAATCAAACTATGGCTGTCCCCCTAGACCTTCCCTGGTCTAGAATGCATCTGACCAGCGTTGGAAACAGGAAACTGGGGGGGGGAAATAATGGGTTTCTGGGGCTGACTGTGCGCTCAAACCAGGTATTTATTTCCTCTGAAGTCACGGGTGGAAATTTCACACGGGGGTGGGGTACAGAGGTAGCCCTCCAGGCAGGGATGTCCCTCACCTCTGGGCTCACTGGCAAACCTTTCAAGGCCCTTAAATTCTCCCTCGCCTCTCCACGCCTATTGCTCTAAGCGTTCCTTAGGGCACCGATTCGTCTCGCCTATCTAACCACAGATATTAAGATGTATATTCCGCCATCTCCATCTTCGAAGCTATCAACCTATTTCTCAATGTTTGGTTCCTTGTTTTTTTGTTTTTTAAAAAAATGATGGTTCCAGAATCCGCAAAGTGCTCGGCATTTAATCCACCCACGCGTTTCTTTTTAAAACCCTCGCTTTTTATTAGAAAGGCGCATTATTTTCCTTGCCGCTCCAGAGACCCTCTTGTTATTAAGCAAAGGAGTAGCGGCTACTATGGGCTGCAATTATTTGGCTAAATTCTGCTCAGACTAGCCGGTAGACCCATTGACTTGACTGACTTCCTCTTCTCCCTCCGTTTCAATGGGTTTGCTCTGCCCCAGGCCGCAGTTATCGAAGGGAAGGGGTGTCAAAATTGTCTTTTTTAAAAAAATTAATAATAATTCTCATTTTCTCATTTTTTAAAACACCCCCCAAATCTTTACATAATCAATCTGCATTTCCATCGACTTTCCTTCCCTCCTTTCTGCGGTTACTTGGTTTATATCAGATGGGTCGCATACAAATATTATTATTATTATTATTATTATTATTATTAATCCAGTTCAAGCCGGTTTACTAATTTCCCCTTCGTATTCCCTTTTCATTATTTCTTACTGGACATGTTTATGTCAATCCTGCTAATGTTTTAAGTTGTCTACAATGCATCTTCAGCTAGCTAGTAAATTTTCCCCCATTCTGATTTTTAAAAGCGTCTCCTCTTGGTTTCTCATTTCTTCCAGTAAGTTTCGCAATTTCTGCATATTCCATCCAGAAAAATTGCCTATGGGTTGGCTCAAGCTGAAATGCGCGGCCGAAAAGATTTTAGGCCTATCGATTTCAAGAGGTCCTCCTTTTAGTGTAATTTAGTTGGAGTTGACATTCGTTATTCGTGTCCCTTAGGGTCTACTCTGAGCAGGGCGCAACACTAGATATTATTATTTGCATTCCTTACTATATATAATGGTGAAGGAGCGGTAAGGAATGCAAATAATAATATCTAGTGTTGCGCCCTGCTCAGAGTAGACCCTATGAAAGTGTGTGTATATATATATATAATAAAAATATTAAAATCGTTTAAAGCGAAACGGCATTTTAAAGACACCACACACGCCCACGTTCCTCTTTATACCCGTTGATCAGCGAAAATCTGCTGTGAATAAAACGCAGTTGCCAAGTTGTCAAGACCGCGTATAATCTGTCCACACGCGCGCGCGCGCGCGCGCACGATTGACAAGTGTACAACCAGACAGGAAGCTGCTACGGGTGAGAAAGGGGGATTCCGTTTCGGGATTCATTTATTAATTAATAGGGCCAGTTAAAGAATCCATCTGTTTAAAAGCGAGCTTTCGGCTGGCGAGAGATGGATAGATAGAATAAACGTTCAGATGGATAAGGGGAAGGAGAGAAGGAGAGAATGAGTAAGGCGGAGGAGAATTCCCTCTCTGTAGGTTAAGCGTGTTCATTCATTTGAGCATTATTAATATTAATATTAATTATGTTTTTTAATATTCTGTTGGGAGCAGCCCAGAGTGGCTGGGGCAATTAATCAGATGGGCAATATTATTATTATTATTATTATTATTATTATTATTATTATTATTATTATTATTACAGGATTATTATACCCAGCCACTCTAGGCGGCTTACAGCATATATAAAATAAGAAGAAAAGGCACACTAGCCTGGGAACTTCCTCTCTGCCCAGAACATTGGAGGCTATACACCACACCCCCTCAACAGTATTTATAGGAACTCAAACACTGAGATCCTGCTCTGTTCCAGTAACAAGAAGCCGAAAGCACCAGCCTGAAGATGACGAGTGAGACCTCGTCGAAACGTCGCCTAGACACCCCAACTTTTACACGGGAAGACACCCGAGGACACCAAAACCTGCAAATATAGTAAAATATCAAGTTTCCGATACGGGGCTGCCTTCAGATGTATCATTATTTTTTATTATTATTATTATTATTATTATTATTATTATTATTATTATTATTATTATTATCATCATCATCACATGCCCTTCATCAGCAAGTCCCGTTCATATACACATATAGTGGATCACAGAGTAGTGTAAATAAGCGCATTCAACTGCATTCGATCCCTGGGGCAATTGCGGATTTTAGACTTTGCAAGTTCCTTGCAGGCAGAGACCCGCGCGTCCTCTCTCGCCCCGCTTTCTCTCTTTTTCCTCCTTGATCCCTCTGGATTCTGAAACAGCCTATTCCCCCACCCGTCTGTGGGCATCGCAGGATGAGATCCTCGTTGCAAAGCGGATCGCGCGCGCGTCTGGTGCGCCATAGAGCGCTCGGTCCTGCTCAGAGACTCGCTGAGTCCAGTGGACCCCATGCGTATTAATAGGTTTTGCCTTCAACGGTTACGCACTGCTCAGGGTAGACTAATGGACACGGATAGACGTGCCTAGTTTAGGCCTTGGTTCGTTTCAATGGGTATCCTTCTGAGCAGGACTTTTGCTCTCAAACGTGGCCTACGTGGTTCTCTCTCCCGCCTCATTTAATCGTCAACGACAACCCGGTGAGGTAGAACGGAGGCGGCCCAGTGTCCTAAAACGTTTGGATAGATGGATGGACCGACGCGTGTCTCTCTATTTCTGTGTGTGTGTGTGTGTCTAACCGAAGTAGAAAACGGATCACGCTTCGCCCGTGCCTTAGCTAGCACCCGGATTCTGCTCTTGCGCACGTCTGAACGCTGTGCCTGTGTGTTAAACACGTGGCTCACACCAGACATTATATTCACCATCAATTCCGGGGTAAAATATTTAGGGTTGTAGCTGAATCAGAGCAGAGGCGTTGAAATGAGCGCACCTAAATTGGTCGTGCCCTTTCAATTTCAACGGGTGTGTTCTGAGCAGGGATGAACAAAAGAAGCTCCCTCGCTCTCTTGCCCCGGGAGTAAGGCCCATTCAAGCCAAGCGGGCTTACTCCTGAGCAGGCAGAGACCCGAGGGCGCTGCAGTTGTCCCCAGATGCTCCCTGCAGCCACGATTCATAGACAGAAAGGAGAGAGGAATAGGCCCCAATGTATATTGTGCAGAAAACCGGGGGCGGGGAGCGCAAGACTGAATAAACATCGATCTGCGTGTTGGCCTTGCGCATCTCCCCCCCCCCTTTTCCCTGGAACGCCGCCGCTCCCTTTCTCGACACGCGGCGACGGGCAGGGATGGAACGTGTGAACAGACCTTCCCCCCAATACCATGGAAAGCGTAGCAAATTGAGGCGATAAAAAAAGTTATGCCGTCAAGAGGGGATGAGGAGGGGGTGTCACCTCCGCCGGAGCTGATCCTCACACACGCCAGTCACTTTCCCTGAGGCTCGGGGCCGCGAATCAACGTACACGCATCCTGACCCACACACCTGTAAATCACACTTTTCTTGTAGGGGCGGGAGTTCCTGTCTCATTCCTTTCACAAGCACACCCCTCCCGCTCCCCAACGATTCCTCCGCTTCTTCCCCTAGACCCCCCCCTTCCCTTCTTTCTCTCTCACCCCCGCCCGCCTATGACATTCCCCGCGGGCGTTCAGACAACCGTGTTCCCTCTTCCAGAGAGGCGCGCGTCAAAGTGGAGAGTCCAGGCGGCCAAGTGTGCGTATGTGCGAAATTTACAGCTGTTTGGCTCCCGCCCCGCACCCCTCTCCGGACCCCACCACGCAGCCCCCCAAGTTTCTAGTCCCTAACGCGAAGCTACCTACCCGCCAGCCTCAAGGCAGACATCCTCTGGAACTCCGGTTCCTGCAACCATTTCCACATCCGTCGGAAGGTCTCCCGCCCGGACTTCAGCTTACTCCACGGCTTGGGGTTCCTCAGGAGGTCGGAGAGGGTGCCCTGCGAGCGACACAGGATCCGCTGGGCGAAGATGGCCTGCGGGATGCTGTAGCGCTTCAGCTCGGCCGTGATCCGCTGCGCCACTTCCTTGGTGTTGATCTCTTCCACCTGCCCGGAGCCGCCGCCTTGCGAGCCCGACGCGGACGAGCCTTGCCTCTCCCGCTCGCCCAGCAGGGCGCCGTTGGCTTGCCCGTGGGGGTGTCCTCCGTGGGGGTGCATGCCGTTCAGAGAGGACATCATGCCGGAGGCCGGAGCCCCCAGACCCCGCGCCAGGTGTTCCTCGCTCCTGGATAGCATGTGAGGGTCGAAGCCGTTGGGCGAAAGTAACTTGTCTCCAGCCAGGTGGGCGCCGGGGCCGTAGGGGGCCAGCGACTGCTGCCCGTTGTGTAGGCTCAGGCCGTTGGAGAGGGGCGACAGCGCCTGCCCCATAGACGGCATGTCCTTCGGGTAGTGGCCGTACAAGTTCCCCATGGAGGCGGCCAAGCTGCGCTCCTCGCGCATGAGGGTGAAGCTGCCGCTGACGCTCCCGGAGAGCCGCTGGTGGTGCGGCGGGTGGTGCGGGTGGTGGTGCTGGTGGTGGTGAGGATGGTGATGGTGGTGGAACTTCTCGGAGACGGTGGAGATGGGCGGCAGGTGCTGCAGAGGCGTCAGAGTCGTGTAGGTGCTCATCCCCGAGGGCGACTCGCAAGCCATGCTCATAGCCGGGTGGAGAGGGCCGCTCAAGGTGTGCTCCGGCCGGTAGTCTCCCGCCCCGTCGAGGATGGACGCCATGCTGGAGACCATGGCCGGCCGGCCGTGCGAGGAGACGAGGTTGCGGTGCGCCGACGGGGGAGGAGGCGGAGGGGGAGGCGGCGGCGGAGGAGGCGGAGGCTGCCGGGCGTGCGCCCCGGCGGAGCTCAAGAGCTCGCCCGCCTGGTGGAGGCTGCCGAGCCCGTCGAGGCTCAACTCCATCGCTCGCTCGCTCTCCCCCGGCCAGGCGATCCCTCCTCCTCCTCCTCCTCCCCCTCCCCCTCCTCCTCCTGGATCTCCGCCTCCTCCTCCCTCCTCCTCCTCCCTCCCTCCTCCTGTGTCCCCCGCCGCCTTAATCCAGATCCATCTCAGGAGATCTCCATCCGGATCTCTTCTGGGCGCGCGCGCAGGCGGAGGAGCGGATGGTGCTCAGGGGCCGCGGCGGCGGCGGCGGGTCCCCACCCCCCCTCCTGCCCAAAGCTGCGGGGATGGGCGCTCCTTTCCTCTCGGCGCTAGGCTCTGGCTGCTCTCTCTCGCTCGCTCGCTTTTCTCCTCCTCTTCTGTCCGCCGTGGCTGCGAATAGCGCGGCTCTGCTCCTCGGCTCAGCCTCCCTCTCGCCTTGACGTCACGGCGCCCAGCTACGGTCTGTCCGCCCCCCCCTCCACCGACACCACCCCCAAGCACACACACACACACACACACACACACACACACACACACACACACAACCTGCCCAGCGTGCTCCTAACGAGCGCCCACCTGCCAGCCTCAGTGTGGCTTCTCTGGTTCCTATTATGAATGTGATTTCTGCCTCTCTCTGTGTGTGTAGAAGGCATCGACAAGGGTGTGTGTTCCCCCTTTCTTTCTCTCTCCCTCTCCCCCCTTTCTCTCTCTCTCACACACACCACAGGGAAAGGCGAGTGCTGGGAGGTGGGCGGGGGGGGGGAGCGGGGGGTGAGGGGAGAGGCAGCAGCAGCAGCAGCGGGGAGTAAGGGAGAATAGCGATATAAAATCAATTGCGGCTGGAGGGTGAGCGAGAGTTTCAGCTGGGCTGTAGGGCGGGCGGTGAGGGGGGAGAGTGTGAATCTGTGGGGAAGGGGAAGGCGAGAAGGAAGGAGGGAGGGATAGGGGTGAGATTGAGAGAGGGGGAGGGAGGAGGGGTGGGGGAAGGAAGGAAGGAAGGGTTGGAGGAAAGGAAAGAAATGAATGAAACAGGAAGCAACGAGAAGAAGGAAGGAAGGAAAGGGTTGGAGGGAAGGAAGGAAGGAAGGAAGGAAGGAAGAAAGAGAGAGGGGGTGAGAATGAGGGAGGGGGTGGAAAAGGAAGGAAGGAAGGAGGGAGGGAAAGAGAGAGAGGGAAGGAAGAAGGGAAAGAAAGAAAGAGCAGGGAAGGGTTCGAGGAAAGGAAAGGAATGAATGAAACAGGAAGCAATGAGAAGAAAGGAAGGAAAGGGTTGGAGCAAAGAAAGGAAGAAAGGAAGGAAAAAGGAAGGGAGGGAGGGAGGGAGAGATTGAGGGAGGGGGTGGAAAAGGAAGGAAGGAAGGAAATAAGAAGCAATGAGACGAAGGAAGGAAGGAAGATGAATGAAATAAGAAGGAATGAGAGGAAGGAAGGAAGGAAGGAAGGAAGGAAGGAAGGAAGGAAGGAAGGAAAGAGAGGAGCAGTGGAAAGAGGGAGGAAAAAACAGGAAGGAAGGAAGGATGGAAGGAAGGAAGGAAGGAAGGAAGGAGTACTTAGGCTATGTCTCTTGGGACAGGTTAGCTGAGCTCCTGAGCAAGCTCCCCGTGCCCCGCCTGCCCTCTTCGCCCCTCGGCCCCGTCCGCCTCCGCCCCCGACTGTATCAGCGAGCCATACATCACGACACTCCATCGCGCCTAATCTCTGCCTCCATCTATCACGGGCTTTTCTGCTCTATTGGTCTATCTATCCTCGCAGGGGAAAGGCTGTGAGCGCGCTCTGGTTGTGTGTGTGTGTGCGCGGGCGCGCGTGTGGCGGGGGGGGGGTGGTGGTCCACACCGGAGGGCAACCTTGCCCACCCCCCTACTGCAACCGAGGCTTCTCATCTGCCTAAGCTTTGTGGGGATCGCTCTACGCGCCCCACACAGTCCCAAGATGACCTCTCTCCATCCTAGATCCCCACCGACACCACCGGCCCTTGGAGACGGCGTGGGGGGGGCGTCTCGCAGGAGTGGCTCCGGCGCTCCGCTGTAGCACAGCCGCCCTCCCCGCGCTGTGCCCTTATCGATCACTTCAGATCACGGGGGAAGGGAGAGAGAAAGGATTTCGCAGATGGTCTGTGGGAAGTATTTGGGGGAAGGGGAGCGTTTCCTAATGGGCCCGGAATAAGGAGCCGGTCCCCCCCGCTCCACAAAGGGTCTTCATTGACGCCTCAGGTCCACCTATGCTCAGAGACAGCCTCCTTAACCTACGTGGGGAGGGCGGACCACACCGAGAACAGAAGCTTCAACTAGATAGTCCTGGGTTTAAGGATGGGTTTAGGAACAGCTCTTCGGGGTTTCAGACCAGGCGTCTCTCCCAGCCCCCTCCCCCCCGGGGGGGGAGATATAGGCAATGGAACCTGGGGGTCTTCTGAATGCCATAAGTTCTGTTGTTGTTGTTGTTTAGTCGTGTCCGCCTCTTCGTGACCCCCTGGACCAGAGCACGCCAGGCCCTCCTGTCTTCCACTGCCTCCCTAAGTTTGGTCAAACTCATGCTGGTAGCTTCGAGAACACTGTCCCACCATCTCGTCCTCTGTCGTCCCCTTCTCCTTGTGCCCTCCATCTTTCCCAACATCAGGGTCTTTTCCAGGGAGTCTTCTCTTCTCATGAGGGGGGCAAAGTCTTGGAGCCTCAGCTTCAGGATCTGTCCTTCCAGTGAGCACTCAGGGCTGATTTCCTTCCGAATGGAGAGGTTGGATCTTCTTGCAGTCCATGGGACTCTCAAGAGTCTCCTCCAGCACCAGAATTCAAAAGCATCCATTCTTCGGCAATCAGCCTTCTTGATGGTCCAGCTCTCACTTCCATACATCACTCCTGGGAAAACCAGAGCTTGAACTATACGGACCTTTGTTGGCAAGGTGATGTCTCTACTTTTTAAGATGCTGTCTAGGTTTGTCATTGCTAGGTTCTACCACTGAGCAAAGGGGCTTCCCCCCTAGAAAGTAACGCACTAGTCCTCACATTTCTGCTTTAACGGGAAGAGAAGATACTGCCTGTCCATCTAGCCCAGTGTTGTCCTCACTGCCGCTTTCCATGGTCTGAGTTCCCAGGCCTATCAGGCTTCAAGCAAGGTTACTGAGGGGCGTGGCTTGGTGAGAAGGGGTGTGGCCAGGTGACAGCTCTGAGGGCCAAGTAGAAGTGCTTCAAGGGCTGAGTGTGGGGTGTGTCCCTGGGGAGAGGGTATGCAGCCTGGGGGCAGCTCTGGGGCCCTGACAGATGGACCTGGAGGGCTGTTTTCAGTGGCTGGTCCTCAGCTTCCCTACCCAGGTCCTTCTCCCCCATATCCAAAAACTCTTCTCCAGCTTCTGTTCTCTTTGAGTTGTTTCCAGCTACATTCTACTCAAAGTAAAGGTAAAGGGACCCCTGACCATTAGGTCCAGTCGTGACCGACTCTGGGGTTGCGGTGCTCATCTCGCTTTACTGGCCGAGGGAGCCGGCTTACAGCTTCCGGGTCATGTGGCCAGCAGGACTACGCCGCTTCTGGCGAACCAGAGCAGCGCACGGAAACGCCATTTACCTTCCCGCCGGAGTGGTACCTATTTATCTACTTGCACTTTGACGTGCTTTCGAACTGCTAGGTTGGCAAGAGCAGGGACCAAGCAATGGGAACTCACCCCGTGGCGGGGATTTGAACTGCTGACCTTCTGACCGGCAAGTCCTAGGCTCTGTGGTTTAACCCACAACGCCACATGCGTCCCTTCTACTCAAAGTAGCCCCACTGAAATTAATGGAGCTACGTGACCCAGGTCTGTTCTTTTTAATAGGTCCGCTCTGTGTGCAGCCAACATTGGATTTTGTCCAATAATAAATGAATATAGTCCTAACCTGCCCTTCGTTGATACAAGCACAGCAGGGGCTGGACACGACCTCAGAAACAATCTGATCAGTTTCCCTTTTGCTTGTTCCACCTGTGGACTTTTCAGGCTCTTTCAGGAGGGAAGCATCTCACCTGGGGAAGGACAGCTGTGGGCAGCTGTGAGTAAATGGTGTGTTAAAGCAGGGGGGGGGCTTTCTTTGTCCCACCCTCCCTTGACTGGACTGTCACTATTGATTAGACCTGGTTCAGCACTACGCTCTCCTTGGGGATATAAGAACTCATTTTATGATCTAGCCCTGGGAGAATCCACCAGGGAACCCTCTGGGAGCTGTCCCAGGTCCTGAAGCATCTGACCTTTGGTCTAAGATGGGGTCTTCTTCTGCTCCTTCTTTGGCGATCCCTCGTAGCTGAGTAAGATTGTCTTCCATAAACACAGCTTTAGCAGTGAGTCTGTAAGTGTCTGTGGAGGCCAAGTCTGGATCCCCACGTCCTTCCACAGTGGGAACATAGGTTTCCGGGCGGGAGTTGATCCTGGTGAGGGTTTGCCAAGCATGCTTTCCTCTTAGAACGTTTCTCCCTTTCGTCCTGAGTTCGAGCGTCTTCAAAACCCACGACACCTTTCATCAAGGCTGTTCTCCAACTGGAGCGCTCGCAGGCCAGTGTTTCCCAGTTGTCAGTGTTTATACTACTGTTTTGTTTTTTAGATTTGCCTTGAGAGAGTCTTTGAACCTCTTTTGTTGACCACCAGCATTACGCTTTCCATTTTTAAGTTCGGAATAGAGTAGCTGCTTTGGAAGACGATCATCAGGCATCCGCACAACATGACCAGTCCAACGAAGTTGATGTTGAAGACTCATTGCTTTGGTGATCGTTGGAAGACGGTAAGGAACCCGAGGCCCTGCAGACGTTGCTGGACTGCCGTTCTGTGGCGTCTTTATTCTTTTAAGAAGGATTAAAGGGAATTTACCAGGAACACACAATTCAATCTGAGACAGATTGCGTTGTATAATAGCAAGAGGCTCACACGAGCCTGCAACCCGGCTATCTGCTGTTCGTGTGAAAAGGGGAATGTAACTCTGCTACATAAAGGAACTTGCTAGCGCAAGTTAGGAAGGATATTAATAAACAATATATCCTCTCCTACCTTCATCACCTCGAACTCACCTCGAACTCCTTGGAAGGGGGAAAGCTGGGCTATAAATGCAATAAACCACGTGTGTGTTGAATAATAAATTAAA